CCGCCGCAGCCGTCGGCTGGCCTCTCCTTCTCCAGCTTGCCACCCCCGCGGCTCCGCTTGACGCTCTTGTAGAACTGTCCCCAGCGATGCCGCCCCGCATCCTTCTTCAGCCGCTTCTCCTTGGCCCGGCGGTTCTGGAACCACACCTGGGGTGGGAAGTGGGGACATCGATGGCACCCCGGCACCCCTGCGTGCCAGCACCTCTGCCACCCAGCATGCCGGCACCCGTGCAAGCCAGCACCCCAGCACCCCTACATCCCTGCATGCCAGCATCCCTGCACCTCTACCACCTGGCACCCATGCAACCCAGCACCCATGCCACCCAGCACCCATGCCACCCAGCATGCCAGCATCCCAGCATCTATGTAACCCAGCTCCCACGCAGCCATGCAAACCAGCACCCTTGCAACCCAGCATGCCAGCACTCCTGCAACCCAGCATGCCAACATCTATGCAACCCAGCTCCCATGCACCCATGCAAGCCAGCACCCTGGCACCCCTACATCCCTGCATGCCAGCATCCCTGTACCTCTGCCACCTAGCACCCGTGCAACCCAGCATGCCAGCATCCCAATATCTATGTAACCCAGCTCCCACACAGCCAGGCAAACCAGCACCCGTGCAACCCAGCATGCCAGCACACCAGCACCCTGGCACCCTGCAACCCAGCATGCCAACATCTACCCAACCCAGATCCCATGCACCCATGCAAAGCAGCACCCCTGCATCCCAGCTCATCAGCACCCCTGCAGTCCCTCATGCCAGCACCTATGCAGCCCAAGACACACACACCCATGCAACCCAGCACCTCTGCAACCCTGCATGCCAGCACCCCTGCACCGAAGTAGGCCAGCGCCCAGGCACACCAGCACCCCAGCATTCTTGCAACCCAGCTCCCATGCACCGTTGCAGCCCATCACCCCTGCAACCCAGCTCCTGGGCACTCATGCCACCCCAGCATCCTTGCAACCCAGCTCCCATGCACCCATGCAACCCATCACCCCTGCAACCCAGCTCCTGGCCACCCATGCCGCCCCAACACCCCTGCCACCCCTGCATCCCCTGCAGCCTGGCTCCCCAGCGGGTCCCCTGTGGCCCCCTTGGCCGGGACAGGGTGGAAGGAGAGCATCCCCCCATGGCATCACCTGCACCACCCTCATGTCGAGCCCCGTCTCGGAGGAGAGCTGCTCCCGCACGTGCCGGGCGGGCTTCGGGGAGTTTTTGTAGGCGTTCTTCAGCGTCTCCAGCTGCTTGGCCGTGATGGTGGTCCGGGGCCGCTTAGCGCCCGCCTCGGAGTCATCTGCAAGCGAAGGAGCCGGTACCAGCCCCAACCCAACAGCCCACGCTGCTGGGGAAAAGCTCCCCAACCCCATCATCCCCAGAGCCTGCAGGGACATCTTCCCACAGGTCCAACGCCGGCAACGCGACCCACGGCCACCCTTCGGTGCGCTGTCCCACCTCGTAGCCCTGCGGGGTGCCTACCGTTCTGCTTGGCCGTCTCGTAGTCCTCCTTGCAGACCAGCCGCCCATCCTCCATCAGGTAGAACTCGTCACCGGTGGCCAGCTGTGCAGGCAAAGCAGTGGAGGTGGTAGACGAAGTCCTGGGCTTTGCGGACCACCTGGGTGGGGGGGATGCCCTGCTGGCACGCCGTGCATTTGGTCCCGAAACGCCTGCAAGGAGAAGCGGGCGGCCCTGAGCCCCTCGGTGAGGTGGGCTTCACCCAAGGTGGGGTACGGACCGGGAGACAGGGTTCAAACCAGCAATGAACCTAATTAGGCTTGACACTTCCTACGGCCGGGGTTTGTCTTCTTCAGCGTGAAGGACCAGCCTGATGGAGCTGAGGAAGGTTTGATTTTAATGGTTCTTTTAACTAATGCTTATAGGCTGCCTGCTCTTCCCCTGCAAGGACAGTGCATATTTCATCCACATTAATACCAAATAAATTAATTACGCCGCCCCCCGCTAGCGTAACGGATCCCAGATTAATGCAGAGTGATGGGGCTCTCGCACCGTAACGACAGCCCGACGGGGCAGGCATGGGCCCGAGCAAGCTCACGTGCTCAGAGAGCACGGAAGAAGTGAGCGTGCAAGGAGCGTGCAAGGATAACACCCAGCGTAAACTGAATTAAAGGCACAAGTGCCACGAGAACACCGAAAATCAGCGGGCGTTCCACTGGTGTTTTCAGCAGCAGATGCCGTGGACTTTGGGATTGGCACCGGGGCAGATCCCCGGCTCCCACCGGCACCGCGAGAGCTCTGCTGGGTCTCCCCCCAACACCCCCAAACACCCCATCAGCGGCGTCCCAGGACCCCACGGAGCCGTCCCCATGAGCGGGTAGCACAATGCTGTGGATGATGACTCTGAAGTGTAATAGAGGCAAGGAACATTCGGGGGTACAGCCACCCTGGGCACCCCTCGCTGCCCCCCCTGAGAGCTGAACATCCCCCGAGCGTGCAGAAATCACCCCGCGAGCCCCGAGCCATCAGGAAAGCCGGGGCACAGCCAACGCCAGGTCCCCAGGGCTGTCCCCAAGCACTGGGCATGAGTGGCACTGGCACCATCTTGGCAGCTGCCCAAAGGGGTGTTGGGAAGCAGGAGGAGAGGAAGGAAAAACCCATTTTCTCTTGTTTTCTGGGCTTGTATCCTAAAGGGAGAGTCCCCAGGCACCTGCTGGGGAGAGCTCGGCTCTCCTGGAGTCAGCTGGGGGGGAGGGAATGGAGGAAGGGGTGGGGTGGGAGATGGGGGGATGGGAGGTGGAGGGAGGGTTAAGGGATGGAGGGAGAGGAGCAAGGGACAAAGTGGTGCACAGGGACAGACAGACAGACATTGCTTCTCCGTGCCCAAGGCTGAGCCGGTGCACGCTCTGCAGCCCCATCCTCCCTCTGCCCACCCCCCCAATCACATAACTCTACTAAAGCCATTTTAAACGCCCCCTCCCCAGCACCCCGGGGTGCTTCCGCACCACCTGGGGACAGCCAGACCCGGGGCAGAGCCGGGGACCAAGAGCTGCGATTTGGGGGAGGGAAAAAACCAAAAAAAGATCAAAATCCAAAAAAAACCCAGACTTTTTGGAAGCGGCTCCTGCGTTGCAAACCGGCCTCAAAGCCTCGCCTCCTCCGCGCGTTACCTACCCCGAAATCAATGAGCGGTTGAAATCAAGGTGAGGCGAGAGCCTGAGCAAGCGGGTATTGATTGGCACCGAATAATCCAGGCAGGACCTCATCTAAGAGAGCCGCTGATCTTTCAACTCTAATTAACATTGATTACCCACACCTTTTGGGCGACTATTTAAATGACTTGGAGATTAATAGGCTGGAAAATATCAGAAGCGAAGTGTTATTACCGGGGCTGTGGTGGCTGCTTTGACCGGCGCACGCTCCCCAGCTGGGAAGGAGAAACTCCAGCCGCGTCTTTGGCCCTGATGGCTGGTGGGTGGGGGGACACACGTAGGAGGCCTGAGACCCCGGGG